TGACCATGTTGCGAAAACAAGGTCAAACAACCTCTATGCAACGAAAGGAGACTGCGACCACACAAAAGGCTACACCATCTTGGTCTTCATATCTTGGACTAAATCAGCATGTTGATAGCAAAGACCAAATCCAGGTTAACGTCACTAGTAACATGTCGGGTTTATTTTTGCCTATTGATAACAAGTCTTAACGATGGATGCTAGTTGCCTGGAAAGTCACACTTGACGTATAACCAAGGCGTGGAGAGCTTGACATTGTACCTCATTTCTACGATTCATTCCAATTTGGGGCGGCAAGGCCGAAACTTCATTAATGCCTGGACGATAGGGGCCATGCTGCAGGGGCTTTCATAGAAAATGTGAGCCTTTTAGGCAGCTTAGATATCAGACCTTGTAACGCCACACGAATATACCAGAGTACAGAAAATTCAATTGAAATGTAAGGTCTGTTTATATCATCGTGGGAAAATTCAACTACCAGTCCTCGTATCATCCTAAGCGAAATAGGGTGAATACATCTCATACATAGTATTAACTAGTAGTCTCGTAAATTCTAAATTATTTTCTTGCATTTTAATGGTTTATTTTGAATCCATCTTTTTTGGGAATTATTAAAAAATAATTTATTTAGGTTCTAATTTGGCAATTTATTCTAAAAGACTGGTTGATAGATTATTTATTGCAACTAAATGTTAACATCATCAAAATGAAGTAGTTTTGGATAATAAACCAGTACATAATTGGAGTAGAGTCTTCTCATTCGATTTTGGGGTTCATAATGACTAGAAGTGAGATAATATCTAACCTATATCTCGATTAATCTTCTGAATAGAATTTTAGTTTGTGCCAATATGTGTTTAAGCGATCCATAGGTCATTCTCTCCAGAAGATGACGGCCGTTCCCACTTGGCCTGCCATTGCTTGATTTTTTTGTGACGCTGAGGTTGATGAAGTTTTAGAAGCTTCCTCCTTCAATTTAGACCAAAACTCGCTGTGCTTCCTTTTGCCAATTGGCAGGCCTTGTCAGACCTTAACCTTATTCTCAGAGAAACCTTGCGCTAACATTTATTTTAACTAAGAGTCATCTTCAGAGCTTTTAGGTAGGAGGCATATTTTTACTTAGCGGATAAGACTACATTTTCACTCAAAGATAAGGTGAACTAGCATGGATGGCTTTATAAGAGCGACACTTGCTATTTTCTTCAGCCCATTAAGCCCGGCATAACTCATCCTGTCAGCTAATATCCCTGCAAGTGCTACAATAAGCCTGAATACCGATGTACATTTCACATGCTTACCTTGTCCAGCAGGTTTGAAGTCAACGCTGCGGCTTGATTTGGTTCGCCATCATTATCAGGGGCTGATCTGAAAGAGATGGGCCTGGTGGATTTGTCCCACAAATCGGGCTTCTGCGATACACCATTCCGTCTGTCCATTGGTGGCGATGAGCCTTTGACCAACGGCTCGAATTTTTGTCCACTGCCGGAAAGTAGGCATTCAGGGCACGTACACTGCACAGTAAAACCTCCAGCTACATCGGTCGGTTGTTCTTCATCGATGACGGCCGTAGCAGCGGTACTATTGACAATAACCCTGGAGGTGGCGATCTTCACTTCATTATTAACCTCTGACCTGGGCAGCTTAAATAGAGCATTTTTATATCCTCCTGAGTCGAGAAGAGGAATAGTTCTGGGGTTGCTAGTCCGCAAGCAATGCTCGTCAATGAGGCATCCTTTCTCTCCGTTCCTTTTTTCTACAGGACTTAGATAATTAAAATGGTGATAATTTTGATGTTCACAGCTTCGCACCACCGTATGACTCAATGACTTCTGAGCCGGTGGCAGAAAAACAAGTAGAGCGGAGGTATTTTGCGAGGTCACTGATTTCTTGGGTGAAGTGTCAACTAGGGCCGATTTTTGGGGTAGGAAACTGATTTGATGGAGCAAGTTTGGATCCAAGGTTGGCATTGTTCTCACTTTTTGCTGGTTCACTCTGCGACTGAAGGCTGTTGAATGATGTTTAATCTCTTGATCTTGTCTGTCTTCATCAATAAAATCGGCTGCAGCCTATAGGACAAAGTATGCTCTAAGAGAACTTTAAGCAAGTAATAGAGAATATGATAAAATGTTGGCCCGTCATCCTGTATTTATGTTGTTTATCATAAGGATGTAATGTCAGGGGTTCGCATTTATTCCATAAAAGCAAACCTTGTCTGCTTATTTTTGATGGGCCTGTAGTGGATCTGTCAATTGATATCATCCAAGCTTGATTTCCCAAAGTTGATTAATAATTCTACTTCACCTAATTACCATCCCTTAAGGCTTCTAGCTATGGACTAGAGGCTCGATGTTGGCTAGGACAACCATCAGATCTTAGGATGCCAAACAATCCTTCGCATGTCATGATTGTGCATAGCAATGATAATACAAGTGTAATTTATTCTTAATGGATACGTGACGTCTAAGATGAACCTTTTCTTTCTTTTCTGATTTCCGGTCTCACATTTTAAGTCATAGTCCAAGGTCAAAAAACTTTAACAATATTATTGGTTGCTGACAAGCTACCCTTAAAAACCTATGATTCGTAAGCCAGAAAAAAACATAATGT